TGCTGTTGCTATAGCCACCTTATTCCTTGTAGTAACTGCTGGAAAGGATAGAAATGGGAAAAAAAGTTGGCCCCTGCCTTGTGCAACAGGTGCAATGCTCAGTTGTGAGCATGGACTGAGCTCCATCTCCTTCCTGTGCCCTGAGAGTGGCTGCAGGCAGCCCAGGCAGCAACTACCACAAGAACTTGGGATTTCTGCATTTCATATCTCCTGGAAAGATGCCAAGCAGAATTTAATTGCTTGTGGTGAAATCTTTCTCTGTGGCTAGACAGGACCTTGAATGCTTTTGAACTTCTAAATTGCTATGGGACAGCCTGATCTAGCATGGTTGTGTTTAATATAGAGACAGATAATGAAAGATGCTTCTTTATCACACAGAGTTCTTTGATGTACTTCTTTGTTCCATATATACCAGGCTAACTTGAGGGAGAGGAAGAGACTTCTTGTAATAACATACACATTTGTTTTTCTGTTTAGTAAACTGAGAGGTGTTTGGTTTTTCTTGTGTCTGCCCAGGAAACCACGTCCTGTCTCCTGGAGAGGCTGTTGGAAGAGGTCTAACACCAGAAGCTGCAAAAGATCTGGGTCTCCCCGAAGGGATTGCAGTGGCAGCATCTCTCATTGATGCACATGCTGGAGGACTAGGTACTCAGTCATGTATTTACTATTCCTGGAGATAGGAATGTATTGGATTCATTATAGAAAGCCATTTTTCTCACAGCCTGATTTATCCAGCCATTTGCTCTGTGCTAGTCTTATGAAATAGCATAACAAAAATACAGAAATAATCACAATAACTGCTAATATTGCATAGCTGTTTATAGAAAGAGGCTAGCACTGTTTATGTCTTTTCAGGTGCATTTCCAAATTGTTTAATAACTTCTGCTAGTTCCACTTTGAATTCCTGAACCAAAACACCAGTGTTTTGGCATGTCAATGTGCTGAGATTTTGCATCTTCTGCTGCTCAAAACTTTGGGGAGAAAGTTAGGCAAGAAAGATAAAACATTAACATTCTGAGGGAGAAATCTCATGTCTGAAGCTTGTTCATACTTAGTCTTCCTTCTTAGCTTTAGAAATGAGTCATGCTTCAAGGCTTTATGGCCTGATGATTAGACTTTCTTCTTTTCCAGCATAATATTCTCATGGTTCAACTGTGCTGAAATATATTTGGGAGGTTCAGTGGCTTAGTTTTCTTACTATGGTGTTTGGCCTTTTCTAAATACAGTCAATAACAAAGAGATTCAGTGTAGCTTTTTCA